AATGTTGGATGTTGTTATCAAAATGGAATTGGTGTTGAAAAGGATGAAAAAAAAGCATTCAACTATATCCAAAAATCTGCAGAGATGGGTGATGTTAAAGGAATGTACGAGCTTGGTTATTTTTACAACAATGGAATTGGAATTGAAAAAGATGAACATAAGGCATTCATTTATTATCAAAAATCTGCAGAGATGGGGAACGCTGATGGAACATATAATGTTGGATATTGCTATGAAAATGGAATCGGAGTTGAAAAGGATGAACATAAGGCATTCATTTATTATCAAAAATCTGCAGAGATGGGAGACGCTGGTGGAACATTTGATGTTGGATGTTGTTATGAAAAAGGAATTGGAGTTGAAAAAGATAAGCATATGGCATTTATTTATTATCAAAAATCTGCAGAAATGGGGGACATCAATGGAACATATAGCGTTGGATATTGTTATCGAAATGGAATTGGAGTTGTAAAGGATGAGCATAAGGCATTCATTTATTACCAAAAGTCAGCAGAGATGGGTAACGTTAGTGGAACAAGTAATGTTGGATGTTGTTATGAAAAAGGAATTGGAGTTGTAAAGGATGAACATAATGCATTCATTTATTATCAAAAATCAGCAGAGATGGGGGACGCTGCTGGAACATATAATCTTGGATCTTGTTATCGATCTGGTATCGGAGTTGAAATAAATTTGAAAAAAGCCTTTGAATTCTTTCTGAAATCAGCTGAAATGGGTCACGCAGAAGGAATGAAACTCACTGGTTATTGTTATAGAAACGGAATCGGAACAAAGAAGGATTTAAAAGAAGCTGAATATTGGTTTAAGATGTAAGCCTTTTTTTTTTTAATTATTATATAAATAACATAAAGTAATATTAATAATTTAAAAATAGAGAAAAAAGCAGGTTTCAAGGTAATGATCTTGTGGATTATTCTTTTTTTATTTTAATAATTTTAACTTAATTTTAAACAGAAATAGAGAAATTCTCTTATAATGGTAGTGATGACAATATTAAAAAATTATTGAATGATGAGAAGCATCAATTATTATGGATTCCATATGATAAATTTGAAAATATTAAAAAGATCGGAAAAGGAGGTTTCGCAACCGTTTATCGTGCTAATTGTCGAATTGATCATATGGACTCCTTCTATAATTATTTATTCGCATTTAAAATAATTCATAATCAAGGTTTTTTTAATGAGGTAAATTTATCGAATTGTTTAACGTTTAATTTATGATTAATATATATATATATTCTTTTTAAAAAAAAAGTTAAAAGCGTTTTGCGAGATCGGATATAAAAATCCATCATTCCTAAGGTGTTACGGGCTATCGGAAGATAATTCAGGAAATTACATTCTTATTTTGCAACATGCATATGAAGGTTCCTTACGTGATAATCTTCGTGAAGTATCGCAAATGAAATGGAAAAACAAATTAAATTTATTAAGTTGTATATCATCTGATCTTGAAGCTATTCATTCACAAGGATATATTCACAAAGATTTACATAGTGGTAACATATTACAAGACGATTTAGATAATGCGTATGTCGCAGACTTAGGTCTTTCAACAACTGATAAAAACGACAACGAAATTATTGGAATTTTACCTTATATTGCACCAGAGGTATTATCAGGTCAACCATATACACAAGCAGCAGATATCTACGCATTTGGTATAATTATGTGGGAAATATTAACGGGAAAAGAAGTTTTCGAGGATTACGAATTTAATAATGATTTAACAATACAAATTTGTTTAGGATTGCGACCAAAATTCACTCCTGGGACTCCCGAATGTTATGTCAAATTAGCTAAGCAATGTATGGAATTAAAACCAAAAGAAAGACCTACTGCTATATGTATTAATGCGGCAATTGCTGATTGGATCGAAAAACTTGCGAATGAAAGCAATAAAACAATAATTAAAAAGCAATTCTTGGAAGCTGATGAGCAATCCTTAGAAGCTGATAAGCAATCCTTAGAGAGTTATACTATGGCTAAAAAATTATCAAGTATCGTACAAAAACATCCAGATCGTAATAAGTACACTTCAAAGTCCATTAACACACAAGAGATCGAAAGCATTATCGAAAATATTCGTTGGCAGCGTTCTGATAGATGTGGAAAATCCGATAGAATGAAAACATTAAAAACAATTAATGAACATGATTTTTAGTATTGTGAAAATAAATTTTAAATGCTTAAAATAAATTAATAAAACTTATATCAATACAGTATTTAGTGATATGAATTTTAAAATCCACACTTTGCAGAATCATGTAATAGTAGTAGTTTAGTTTGTTGAATTTAGAATGACCAAACTAATAAATTTTGTCTAATTAATTTTGCTAAAACAACATTGGATTAAACGCGCTTATACATAAATATGACTTATAATCAGTGTTGTGCACTTTTATGTCATTGTCCAAATGTCTTGGCATATTAAAACTTATTTAATAAAATTTATATAAAAGATATTTTCTTTATTTCTGAATATTTTTACTTAAAAGAAAAAATTAAAACAGGCCATATTAAAATTTAACCAATTTCAAAGACGTTTATTTATTTTACAATATCCGAAAAAAAGTATGGATAGTGATGGGCAAATCGCAATTTTTTAAAAATCCCGCGCGAGATTCACGGATTGATACCGGAATTTCGGCCGGAATTATGCATTGGCCCGAATTATCCATAACATCACGTGATAAATCCCGCGCATTGCAAAAAAAATTACATGATGTTATTGCTACACCAATGTTTGCATGCATATCAACCAATCATATTGTACTGTAATTTTGGGGTATTTTGCACTGCGAGAATTCGAAGAAAATAATAGCACAAAACTGGGCAAGTAAAAAATAAATTATTTTTGATTGCATCAATGATTTTCACTTAAAGCTACAAATTACGATAATGTATTTGAGTAAACTTCTTTTAATAGACTAGATAACGTTCAAAAAATTGATCAATTATCTGCAGCTTGGTTAGATAGCATACGAATAATTTTATACATATGTGAGAAAAATGAATATACACAATTACACACATCATCTTGCATAGTTGAAAGTATTATCAGGTTCTCCAAATTCATTAGATTTTTTAAAGTAAGTTGAAATTTTATTGTACAATTACAAATGAGTATATGTTATATATAGAGTGTCCAGCTTACTGCCTGCACAGAATCTGCATAAATATGTACAAAATTCTGTCGATTCTGCCTAAAAAAGGCAGAAAAAGCAGAATCATCGTTATTGATTATAGATGTCTAAATATAGTAATTAGTGTAAATATTGTTTGCCAATTTTTATATTAAATGAACCAAAATTTCTTAGATATTGAACTAATGAATTTGGTAAGTAATATATTTTTAAATTATTTATAATTAGTAAATTACTTGAGTGAAGCTAATTAATAAATTCAAATTTTGATAATTTTTTGGTAAATGATTACTGGCGAATATTTGTTTAACAAATATCCAGACTATCAACAAGAATTTTATCTTGATGATAAAAAATTATTTTGCATTGCTTGTAAACATATTGTAAATGCGAATAAAAAATCTATTGTAGATAATCATTTAAAATCTAAAGCATATTATAATAATAAACAAAAAATACAAAATAATAAAGAATCTTCACAAACAACCTCATCAAATTTATCTAAAAGCAAGAAATCAATTTTGATCTTATTAAAGCATTTGCCACTGCTGATATATCACTTGAGAAAGTGGAAAAACTTCATCCTTTTTTTTTAAAACATTGTAAAAATGGTAATTTATTTTAAGTATTTTATATTATAATATTAATTTAAATTATATTTAATTAATTTTATATTATAGGAGATGTAATAGTTGGTGCTAATTAATTAAGAGAACATTACTTACCAATTGTACATGAAACAGAAGTTAATAAATTAAAAAATAATTTAGTAGGAAAGTATATTTCTGTTACAATAGATGAAACTTCAGATAATTGTGGTCATAATGTAGTTAATATATTATTTAGTTATAAAAATAATACTAAATTGGCTAAACATATTTTCTTGATACTGTTAATTATAGTACAATTTCTAAAGTAATTCTTAATACAATTTTTTTATATAATATTTCTTATAAACATTTACTTCTTTTTATTACTGATAATGCAAGCTATATGATTAAAGCATTTAATGATATTCTTTTTCCTTTAATACCTACATTATATCATAATACTTGTTGATACATATATTTAACTTAGTTGACAAAATTTGAGTTAATTTTGAAAAGTTTAATTTAGTTAATCAATTTGTTAAAAATTTTAAAACTATATTTTCATATTTAATAGCAAAAAAAAGAAGATGACTTTTATACTTAAATTCAAATAACTATAATTCAAAAATTACACTTTCACCTTTGCCTGTTAAGACAAGATGGAATTCTTGATTTAGATTTATCAATTGGACAACCTCTTATATTGAATATTTTAAATCTTTTTTTAAGAATGAATTTCAATTAGATAAAAATAATAAGACACTTAAAGAATTAGTTAATATATTTCAACAAAATGATCATGTTTCTAATTTAAAAATTTTAATAATGTTTATTAATTTTAATGTGCAAAGGTAATATAATTTTTATAATTAATTATTATTTATTTATTTATATATATTAATTACTTTTAAATATATATTATACGTATATAGATTAATAACAGATTTGGAGTTTTTTAAAATTAGAGACAAACCAGTAGCACTATTTGTTATAACATGCTTAACACAGACACAAGCTTTTTTACAAAATGGTACTAATAATCTACCATTTAGTAATGAAATGATTTTACAAATATAAAATTTAAATTTAGATATGAATAATTTAAAAAATATTTTTTCAAAGCATTTAAATTAATTTTAGAAAAATTTAACAAACATATTAATTCACATTCAAGATATCCTCTTTTTAAATCAATTTAATGCTTTAATCCTTCTTATATTCATAACTCTAATAGTAAATATGATCTTATATTATATAATACTATTCCTCAATTTAAGAATCCATCTAATAATATTATAATAGAATGGGGAATTTATTGTGGATTAGATGAATTAATAGATGACAAATTAAATTTA